AGCATGATAGGATAACTTCTTAGCACCATGAAGCCTCAACAGCAAAAGAGGCCTTTTTTTGAATTTTATAATCAGACATTGGTACATCCATCTTCCAGTTGCCAGCAAAATCAACCCCTGTTGATTGGAGGAATCTTAGCTTTCACATTTTTTTATTGTATCTGTGGGTTCAACCTTGAGAATAATAGTCTTTCTTGTTAGGGCTTTCATGAAAGTCCTAACAAGACGCCCAAACTGCATCTTGGCAGTGTGGGTCTACGGATCTGAAAGGAAGATTCAGTTCTGATGAAATTTACTCAAATTTATCTGAAGCTGAATTGAAGCTAGGTTATTGCAGGAAAAGAGAATAAGAGGTCTAGTATCACAAGTTCTTACTTAAAGACTCGGAGGAAACAATCATCCCTGTAATGAGACCACCCTGACTTAGTCACCTGGACTATGAGAGGAATCAGTTGAAGCTGTTCTGAATGAAGCAGAGATTCTAAGAGAACCTCCTTCTCACCCAGTGCCCACAGATTCTGCAGCCTGGCCAGTGCTCACAGGGGCAAGCTGGAGAAAAATGGAACAGAGGACACGTCCCCCAAAATGAGACTTTTCCACAGAAAGAAGAGGAGGCACATGCCCCCTCTCTGAAGTGATCCATGGTAACCTTATTCCCAGATGCGCGCGCGCGCACACACACACACACACACACACACACACACACACAGAGCCCTGATAAAGCCCTTGGACTCTTTCAGGCAAAAGACTTAGAAAATTTTCTATCTCTGTTAGCCACGTTTAAGCTTGACTATTAGTGACAGAAAAATCCAGCACTGCAGTGGCCTAAACTAAATTGAAGTTTATTTATCCCATAGACATAGGCTGTCCTAAACTGGTTTGTCAGTTCTACAGTGATCAGGAAGCCAGACTCCATGTTTCTTGTTGCCCTACATCTTCAACATGAAGCTTTTGCCTTTTGGTCCAAAAGGCAGCCATTATGCTCACATTCTAGCCAGTAGAAAAAAGGAGGGGGAGGAGTTGGGATCTCTCTCTTTAAGAGCTCTGCCCAGAAATCACATGTTCCAATTACACTTACCATACCCTCTTGATTTGTCTTTTAACTTAGTCAATTGACCACACCTAGTAGCCAGGGAGGCTGGGACATTTGGTCCTTATTCCACACAGCTATTTGCCCAGCCAGTGATCAGAGAATACACATTAGCATAAGAGGAGAATGTGGCAGTCTCTGCCACACCCTGCAAAACTAACCACAAAATTTCCAGCAGAGAAGAGTTAGGAAAATAAAATATCCAGCTGTGAGTGTGAACAGAAAGAGCTTGAACCTTTGAAGTTCACCTGCTTCGTGCATTTTCTCACTTATTTGACCTTACCCCACCTGAGGGCACACAACTTCACCTTTGAAATTTAGACCCAGGGGGTGTGACACCTCCTTTCCTTCTTTCTCTCTAGCATGAATTGGCTCTCCAAGCATTTTCCAAGAACTTTATTAAATATAGTACTCAGGCATAAAAAGAAGAAAATAAAGAAAATGCCAGATGCTCAGAAACTTACAATGATTGGATCTTAAGGTAACTGCTTTCTATTTCCAAAAGGCAGGCACAAATATGCAAAAATCATGATAGAGGCTTTGTTCCTCTTAGCTGCTCTCAGGTCTCAGGTAGAGGGGAGCAGCTTTACTCTTTTCTGGAACAAGGCACATGACCTTTTTCAAACTCTGCCATCCCCCTGTGCTCCACCATTTCCATCTGTCTTTGTGCTCAGGGGCAGGCTTGGTGAGCCTTCAGTTCTGGTGACTAGCGGTAAACACTTCCTGTCTGTGCAGGGGGTCATCTTGTCCCTTCACGTCCACAGGGCAACTGGGCTTTTGCGTCACACTAAATAGTGTATCTTAGAGATCTTTTCATCTCAGCCCCTAAAGATCAAATTCATCCTCTTTGATGGTTGCATAGATATTGCATTGTGTGTATAACTTCAGTTTATTTAACCAGACTCCTATTGCCGAATGCTTTAACGTTCCCATAGTAGAATTACATCTTCATTGATTGACTTTTGAACGGGGGAACAGCCGGTGTTTAAAGGGGGATGTAATGGAAAGAGCAGGTCTTGGACAACTTCTCCCATGTCGCAATATTTTGAAGGGTGGCTTCATCTAAGAATCTTGAATGAAAATAATTCAGTAAATTACGGGCGAGAAATGAACTCTTCTAAATCTGCTGGAGGCTAGAAACAGATTCATTGGTGTCCTTGGGATCAGAGAACAGTATAGAGTCAATAACTTGAAAACTGGGTTCATTGAAATAACAGGGGCTGGTCCACAAACTATTAAAGTTCATACCTTAAATCAACACCTTGGCCTCTAACACTCAGCTGCTTGATGCAAAAAGCAGTGGTGGACAACAGCAAAAATTCACACTTCAGAAACCAACAATGCCGAGAGAGCAAATGGCCATTTAGTTTCTCCACCAAACTTCCCTAATCCAGTTTGATTGTTCTTGAATAGCATTGACTTAACAGTTTGTAAAGTAAATACCCTTCCAGGTTTTTGGGAACCCTTGCCTTTCAATTATGTTTGACTTTGTTTTCCTCCCAATTGGTGGCCTCCTCCTGCCTCACTGAGAATTCAGCTATTCTATTCTTTTACTGTCAAAATTTGCTCTCAAAAAGATGCAGAAACTCATTCACGTTATAATTTAAGTTGATATCTAAGTGATATCAGGTAGGAAGGGAAACTGGCATATATACACATATACTATATGTATGTGTGTGTGTGTGTGTGTGTATATATATATATGTATATATTTTTTTAGCAGCATCTCTCTCTGTCACCCAGGCTGGAATACACTGCTGCGATCTTGGCTTACTGCAACTTCTGCCTCCTAGGCTCAAGTCATCCTCCCTCTTCAGCCGCCTGAGTAGCTGGGACTACAGGCATGCACCACCATGTCTGGCTAATTTAAAACATTTTTTTTGTATTTTTTTGGTTGAGATGGGGTTTTGCCATGTTGCCCAGGCTGGTCTTGAACTTCTGGGCTCAAGTGATCCTCCTGCTTCGGCCTCCTAAAGTGCTTGGATTACAGGGATGAGCCACCACGCCTGGCCTGTATATATATTTTAATTTAGATTTTTATTATAGGAATTTTAAATATACACAAAAATAGAGAGAAAATATAATGAACCCATACATACCCACCGGCTTCAACATTTATCAACAGTCTATCATTTTTGCTTCCATTCTTCACTTATCTCCCCCTATACTTTTTTTTCTGTATTATTTTAAACGATTTCCTACAAATACGGGAAGGTATATTTGACGGGAATAAATGGAAAACTTAGTAGGGCAGTGGCTGGAAGGGGGTGCAAAGCTGCAGGAAAGATTCCCGGATTGGGTTGCGACGCCTGCCACGAACGTAGAGGAGGAGGCAGGGGCAAGCGCCACGCACCTCCCACGTACCACCTGCTTTCAGTCGAAGGAATTAAACTCTTACTCTTAATATTTTAGGCATTTACAGCTGGCAGGGGAGAATGTTTTGGAGGAAAGAGGGCCTTTCATGCTCTGATCACTCCTGGGAGGCAGTTGCCTCTTCCTCTACCATCCGCTTTGTATCACTTTTCCAACTACTTGATATGGTTTGAACAGAGTGGCTGTGAGTGGCAGCGGCACACACGGCTTGCCGTGGTGAGTCTCTGTGGAAGGGAACAAAGCCAGGCAAGGCTCCAGGTGACAGCCTGCCTGTCACTGCATAAGAGGAGGGAACAGCAGAGCTTGCCATTTGGAGGGATCGTGGGCTTCCAGCCTCCTACAGGAGGGTCAGCAGCTGTCAGTGGTATCCAAACTGCACTTTCTGCACAAAATGAAGATGTCACAGGAACAGAAGGAAATGCCAGTCAGTTGTCCTTTGATTTGCTAGTTTACTCCAGCAGCAGTATCAGTTTTATCCCCAAAACTCTTTTTCTGGCAAAGCCCATAGGGCCCAAGAACAGCTTTTATTCTGCGTGTGCTGGAAGCCAGGAGGAAGCTTTCTGTGTGTGTGTGCGTAGGGGTGTGATGTGGGTGGGGAGGGGTGCAGGGGGAGGTTCGAGGGCTTGTAGGGCTGGGCACGGTGGCATCTTTGGAAACTGCTGCCATACACCCCTCACGTGTTAGGCTGTGTGTTCGAGAAGTGTCTGCAGGATTAGTTGGCTATTTGAGGAACAGGTGTTCTTGGGGTGGATTTGCTGGCATCGGTTAGGTGGCAGGATGGTTCCGATTCACTGTTGAACCTGACGGGATGGCAGGAGCCCAGAGGGGCCTCAGGAGGGTTCCCAGGCTGTGCAGATACGTTCATCGCGTCCTAGCGGCATTCATGTGCCGTCCACACAATGTGAAAGGCCTTTAGGAGAGAGAAACTGTTCAGTGGGGTCTGCTATTGGCCACATGGGCCTTGCTTGAGTCTGGTGAGCTTTTTTTAGTGCTAGGGAATTCGTGAAGACTATTATCTCTGGCTTGACCTAAACAGAGGCCACAAGCCCTCTACTTCAGCATTTTCTAAAGTGTATTCTGCTAAGTACTAATTCAGTGGAATTAGGGTGGGTAGGAGATGTTTGTGTGGGACAGCACTCCACCCATTCTGTGGATGGAGAGTGGGTGGAAGAGTTTCGTGATGAAGTCAATTGGGAAATTGTGGGCTGAACAGGCCTGTTTGTGGCAGGACTTCTCAGGACCTTTATTACACCAGGGCGCATTGTGACTTTCTAAGAGAGGGCTATCATAGGCTGCACTTCTACTGTTTGTTTAGCTGTAGAGCCCTTGCTACAAGCGTTTCACCAAACATACTTTGGGAAATAGAGTCTTACTTGAATGAAGATTCATCCTGCTGATTTTTCTAAGTCATCAACACCAAAAGACTCAAAATCTATACTTCTCTCAACTAAACTAGAAATAGTTTGATATTTATATTGTTATAAGCTCTTACCCAAAGAGTGTTGAAACTTGAATTGATTTTATATTTCCTTTCTAGATTATTAAAAACTCCAATTTGTGTCTGTGTAACTCAACGTGGGAACCTGGAACCATGTTTACTCTTCTGATGACCCTGAAAGGTAGGCATCTGCAATTTACAGATGGGGACATAAAAGCTCCAAGAGGTTTAGTCATTGGCTCAGGATCTTGCAGCTGGTAACAGAGATGCGGACGTGGGTTTGTCTAGCTTTTCTCTCAGCAGGTGAAGGAAGGGCAGGTTTTCCTTGCTTGGTGTCTATCTCGCCCATAAGAATATAAACACTTTCCATGAGGGCAGTGACTTTGTTTCGTTCACTTCTGTATCTCTGGTGCCCAGCACACAGTAGGTTCTCTGAACGTGTTTATTCAAGGAAGGAATTACTGTCTTCTCATCTATGCAATAAATATGCATGAAATGTCTCTTCTACGTCCCCAAGAATGCGGGTCTGAGAAAGTGCAGCCGAAAACACAAACTTGGTGAGGCCATGTCAAACAATAAAGCCAAGCTGTTTTGGGGCACAGAGAAAAAAGAGTTCACTTTGTGGGAGTTCTGGAGTGCTGTCTCTGAATCCTGACTTCTTTTAAAGTTAAGAGAAAGAAGAAAAGAATATTAAGTACACGTGCCTGGGGAAAAATCATTAAAATAGTACAGAAAGGTGTGAAATAAAACATAAGTCTTTCTCTTCACTGCCATTGCTAGTCCTGTTCTTCACCCGACTTTCTTGGGGGGAGGAAGCGTTGGTGGTGGTTTTGTCCATAACTCAAATAATATGCTTACATTCGCATTTCTTGATTTATCAATATGAAGCAGTAGCTATTGACTCCTCTCTGTGATAGATGAGGCCTGTATCTCCCCAACTTCTGCCTGCCCATTTTTGTTATATGTTTATTCTTCTATATATTTTCTCTATAATTTAAAATAATGTGCCTAAACCATCATTCTTTGATGCATTAACTTAGTATGTCTTGTTTCTCTATCATGTAATGTAAGGAAATTAACTCCATGTTGCCACCTTTCTCTTCCTCCCCAGTATTGGTCAGCACTAAGTTTACTTTTATGTTGTCAAAGTGTAGAACATTTACACTTCATATCGTACCCACAACTAGTCCCTTTCATGCTTTGTTTATATGCAAGTTGATGCTGAAAATTGAAAATCAATACATGGCTTTAACAATACTGTGATTTTTGTAAAGATTATTCGCTGCAGAACCAGAACAGTGTTTGGCTTTATGGAGGAGATGTAATCCTATGTTCTGATGTAATCTTTGCTGTCCAAAGGAGGTTGTTCCAAGCATCAAGGTAAACAGAATCTTGCTGTATGCTAACAATTCTTCAATATAAGAACTCATTTTCAATCTGGAACATGAGTCTCATTCTGGAATTTATAATTGTGTGTGTCTGTTTTCTGGTTGACATGCCTTCACCATGTTACTAAGAATTTCCAACTTCTTAATCATTCTATTTGGAAAGTGGCCCATTTGAAACAGACTTTCTAGCTGTGTCATCCTGAACTTTTTTGATGCACTCTTTAGTTCCACCATTTGATAGGTCCCACATCTTTCTTTCTTTGGTTTGAGGGACTGAGTAAATAAATGGATAATAGCCAAACCATATTAAGAAACAAAACATTGACTCACAAACTGCAGCAACTATCCCAGGAAACCAATCCATTATCTACAGTAACCAGCCCAAGAAGCCAGCTTATTATCGATAAGTCAGATGTGTAGTAAGTCAGACCACTGTCTCCGGCACTCAGCCCAAGAAGCCTAACAATAACCTCAGAAGCAATGGGTCTCCAACAGTCAGGACTTGATTAATATCTGACAGCATCCCTAATCTTTGTCTCTGCTTCCAATTTGGGATCAACCAGAGAAAGCCAGATACGCACCTGTAATCAATCCTGTGGGATGCTGAGCTTCTCGTTAATCCACCTGCGACCTCCCCATGCCGACAGCCTCCAATCAGGGCATGCCCGAAACCTTTCCTTTTTTCTACTATAGAGCTTTCCCATTTCTCTGCTTGTTTTTGAGTCTCGCCAAAATGCAATGGATGGCAGCTGACTCTTTTGCTCGAGCAAGCTCTGAATAAATAGCCTTTGCTTGTTCTCATTTGGTTGGTGCTTGTTTATTTCCACAGCTTCTTTTTTGTTTGTTTGCTTTTCTGGAGCATATCCTCAGGCAACTTTTTTTTTTCAGGTAAAAATTTCTGGATCTTGGCAGGTCTGAAAATATCTTTATTTTTGTCCTGTTCCTTGGGTGGCTTCTGGGTTCAAATAACTTAACTCAAAATTTTGTAGGAATTGCTTCACTGTCTCCTAGCATCCTAGCATCCAGAATTGTTGTTGAGAAGATGATCAATCTTTTGTAGGTTAAACTGCTTCCTCCAGTGGTTTTAGAAACTTTCCCTTTTCCATGTACTGAAACCACATGAGGATATTTATGTCTAAGTAGGAGTCTTTTTTTTTGTTTGTTTTTGTTTTTGTTTTTTTTTTTTGAGACGGAGTCTCGCTCTGTCGCCCAGGCTGGAGTGCAGTGGCGCGATCTCGGCTCGCTGCAAGCTCCGCCTCCCGGGTTCACGCCATTCTCCTGCCTCAGCCTCCTGAGTAGCTGGGACTACAGGCGCCCACAACCGCGCCCGGCTAATTTTTTGTATTTTTAGTAGAGACGGGGTTTCACCGTGGTCTCGATCTCCTGACCTTGTGATCCGCCCGCCTCGGCCTCCCAAAGTGCTGGGATTACAGGCGTGAGCCACCGCGCCCGGCAGTAGGAGTCTTTTGAGAATCATCTTGCTTAGTACTTGGTGGGCCTTTTGGCATAGAGACTTGAAATATTTATTTGATTCTTTTCTCCCTTCCTTTCTCTTGGTTCTTTCTCTCTGTTTCAACTTCTATGAGATAGATATAGGCTCTAATTAATCTTCTATGTCTCTAATTTTTTCCTTCATATAATTTTTGTCTTTTTACTTTCCATGTTAGAATATTTTCTTGTAGTTCTTCTTCAATAGTTATATATAACTATTCAGGTTCAAGACCAGCCTGGCCAACATAGTAAAATCCCGTCTCTGATAAAAATACAAAAATTAGCGAGGTGTGGTGGCGTGTGCTTGTACTCCTAGCTACTTGGGAGGCTGAGGCAGGAGAATTGCTTGAACCCAGGACGTGGAGGTTACAGTGAGCCGAGATCGCACCCCTGCACTCTGGCCTGGGCGAGAGAGTGAGACTCTGTCTCAAAAAAATTTAAAAAATAAAAAATAAAATTGTCATTTTGGTGGATTTTGGGAGTGGTCTGCTTTGTTTACTCACCTTTCAATGGACTCAAGTGTATTTTTTGGTCAGACTCAGAGTGGAAATAGAACAAAGATTCTCTGATCGAAGGCAAATCAATTCATCGTATATTTTATTGCCAACACCCCAAAGCAGCCTGCAAGCCACAAATAGAGAACATAGGGCAAAGCGGCAATGACAAGCAGGGCTGGAGGCCCTTTTGTCCTTTACTGTGTCCAAGTGATTTGGGTAGACGGCAGATCCTGAGGGAGTACACCTGTGGCTGTGGGAGGTTTGCAGGATTCCGCCACAGTCTCACCGCTCTGAGGATGCTCAAATAATATTGCACAGAAACAGTGGGATTTGTTTGAAAGGGTACTTGGAGTTTATTTCACTCTCTCCTAGTTTCTTCCCCCAAGCAGAAGTCAGAGTTATGGTAACCTAGCTTTGGAATAACAAGTTATATATGTTTCTCAGACAATTAAAAAATATGTTCATAAACAACTCTGCAGAGAAGGGGGAAAAAAAACTCTGCAGAAAAACTGGCTCAACCGTTTTGTGAACGGATTAGATAAAAGAAGACTCTGGTGTTATTCCTTGTATATTGTGCATAGACTTTGAGGAGAGAGAGAAGTCATTTCCTGGTGTCCAGTCTAGAGTGGCTGGGGTATTCTTCAGATTCTACAATGACAAAAGCTAAGGGACAGTGATGCTAAGATGTCAGACAGCGTCTGCAGCTTGTTTCAGCAGGAGCCAGTGGTCCTCACACTGTGACAGGGCATTGGTTCTGCAGGGATACCACATCTTTTCCTGTAGTGAGCCCACGTATGTGCCAGGGTCACACAGCTAGCAAGAAGCCGAGCTGGGATTTGAATCTAGGACTCTTTGATCTCACAGTGTGCGTCCTTTCTTCCACAGCTTTGCCTTGCATCATTTCTTTAAAGAATTAAGCATCCAAAAGGCAAGAATAATGTGCACATCAGCCATGAACATGGGTGGCAATAAACTGTAATCTGCCACTGTGGTTCAGGGAAAGGAGTGCTCGGTAGGGCTGAATGGAGTGTGTCCTGTCTATGTTCCACCCCAGCCTTAGGGAGGCACAGGCCTAGCCTAGTGCCAATGCTCAGTCAGCATGTGCTGTTGAATGAACAAGCTGGGGCAGCCAGAAGAAGTTTTGTGGAAAAGGCAGGACTTGAGCTGGGCTTTGAAGTTGCATAGGTCTGGGAGGGCAGAGAGGGCAGAAAGAGCATCCCAGTGCCTGAGAAACAGGATAGAGCAGATTATGAGGGTGGGGGCAAAGAATGGGGTTGCAAACCCATGGCAGATTAACTGGAAGCAGCAGCAAAGGCCGAGTGACAGCAAGCCCTAAACATCAGTAACAGAGCCTGGAGAGGAAAGGATGAAGGCATCAATTCATGGGAAAGTTGTGCTGTCTTTAAATATGTAGCCACGAGGAAGATCCCTTGATTTCTGAAAATGAATAAAGTTAGCTAATCCAGTGAATTAATAATAAGAGCTATTTTACTGTTTCATTGCCATGACCACAGACTTTGCTAAGTGCTTTACATACATTACCTGAGCTAATCCTAACCTCTGTTTGTAAGGTAGATTCATTATCCCTGTTTCAAAAGAGGGAGGGAAATGGAGGCTTTGAGAAACTCAGAGAGGTGAAGAAACTTGCCCCAAGTCACACAGCCAGCAAGGACAGAGCAAGAAGTTGAAGCCAGTTGTGTCTGCCTCTGAACTTCTCTTAATGGCCAGGGTTGACTGCTTCCCACAACAGATACATGTGGCTGATACTGCAAAAATGACAGTCCCTGGGTGAATGGGAGGCATGT